AAAGAAGCCCAAGAAAATAAGGGGAGTCGCAGTAAGGAAAATAGGGAATTTTGTCAGAGCTCACAGCACTTCCAGGTATTCTTACAGGAACTGAAGACCATTATGAGCCACCAGAACCCTTATGGAGAGAAAGGCGAAAGAGGTACGATTAGTGACAACGATAAAGCGCGTTCTTCCGAATTGGGCAATGACCACTTTTGTATCATAAGGGCGACAAATAGGAAAATTAGGGAGTCAGTAGTGGAACTTCCCAATCAATACCACCAACTTTCGGCAATGAGCTCTGCTACGTGAGATAGGCTCTAGACCACCTCTTCTTTTTCATAAACAGTTATCCCGTAATGTTATGATAACTGCTGTTTAACGCCGCAGTACGCGTTCCGAATGTTATCACAAGAATGCTGAGTTGTGGGCAAAAGTCGTGCCCCAGGCGGGAGTCGAACCCGCACCTCACGCTTTCCGGGCGAGTGCGCTATCCGTTACGCCACCAGGGCCGCTTTTACCCTCTCAGCTTAAACGTGTGAGTGCTGTAAGGTTACGGCATAAGCCGTTAAGCTGAGAGGGTAAAAGCGGCCCTGGTGGCGTAACGGATAGCGCACTCGCCCGGAAAGCGTGAGGTGCGGGTTCGACTCCCGCCTGGGGCACGACTTTTGCCCACAACTCAGCATTCTTGTGATATCATCTCGTAATCTTTTTACTTCATTGACATGAGGTGAAACAACGGGGCCTATTTTTTAGCCCTTCAGACGGACTGCGTCTGCGGGTTCCTTGCAGTGCAAAAAGAAGAATAAAGGCCATTTCGTATCAACACATTTCAGTAAGTAAACTCGAACAGCGAAACTACTAAATGGAATGAAACCACGTGGTAAGAATTTGAATGTTTGAAAAATAAAAAACTTACGCTTCCAGCTTCAGCACTTGCTGGATATGCTATCAAGCAGCTGGCCTCAGGTGAGAGATCAATCAAGCCAAGCCGATTCAGAGGTGTGTCAAGGATGGTGTGAAGTGGCTGAAATATACCGAAATCTACTAAGCAAACAAAGAACCTTACTTATACTGGTTAAATGTAGCAGCGACATTTATTGTGAACATTATAATGAAATTTCTACTGGTTTTGGGACGAGCTTCCCAACTAAGCATCAATTCCGCTGCTGACTCAAGCCACACTTCAGTACTGACGTAGTTGGGGCTGTTCAGCTACGCCTCTGCGTCCCTTCCTCCAACCTGGTTTCCGGGCTTGTAATGGAGAAAACGTCCAAAATTGACGGGTTTTAGGCCCGAAAGAGAATGTGTACAGTCTTTTTTGCTGCGGATGCTGAGACGTGTCAGGGGGGAGGATTTGTAAGCGGAAATAACGAAAAAATAAGTTGCACACCTTCATATCCTTCAGCGTGTAGATAAATATGGAGTCTTCCACACAGACAACAACTCTCTGAAAAAACAAAAACAACATTTCCAAGCTCTGTATTCAAAATAATAGCATATGAATTCACTCACATCTCGATTTAGTTTCACGTTCAGTACGGACTTTG